TATCATATAAATAATTATAATTTTATAATTATTTATATAAATATATATATATATATAAAGTACATTATTTAATATCCATAAAAATAACATTTAAATAAATATATTGTACATTTTAACATACAGATACAGCTCTTAGAATTACAAGAAAAATATATTTTGATTTTAAACATAAAGGTTTTATCTATGTTTGTAATAATACTGGTAATCATCTTATAACCTAGATTATATAAGTTGAATATTTTATATCAAAACGATTTTGGACTCTCACCATGTCGTTACGGTCCATTTTGCCACGTCCGGTCCTACTCTATCTGACGACCGTGCATCTTGAAAGAAGCTCGAGGTTTAAGTAAGGCAATTTTTCGACCGTGAAAGTGCCTTAACAACATCAGCAAGATTTGACTGAGTTTATTTACTTGACCAGCCGTGACCTTTTCGTTAAGTCTTAAACCTTTCGTAAATGTCACTTCTCTCACGACCTCACCGAGCTTATCACTATCCCCAGTGTAGCAAGTTATGCTCCGATTTTATATATATTCCCATTCCCACCATTCTCAGTTGAATGATCCTTAGCAACATCCTTTAACCACGAGCGGGATGAAGAGAAAAACGTTTCAGAACATCCCCGGTTGTTCCTTTAAATTTAACATTCATTACATTTGCGCCACGACTAATGCAATGCAAAGCTGCGTATCATACCAAAAGAAGACAGACCGGTATTTTGTGTAACACGTGATATGTTATCTACATAAAAAGTTTATATTTCGTTGTTTGTCAAGTTACCTTTAAAGGGTCTAACGCGTTGAATTTCCTATATTTAGCTAGTACTTTTACAACATGAAACCTGTAACAAACTGACCTTTTCTGGAGGTGGTGTATATGATTGGATGACAACACAAAACGATATTTTACTGTCTGTAAAAACATTAAAAAAATGCCAATATTTCATATTATAAGTTTTGCAAAACAGTCTGGTTTATGAAGTATAGACAGCTCCTGTGAGGGATACATTTCGTCAGATCAGTTTCTGATATTATATTATATTCTTCAACTGTCACATGTTCCTCTGTAATTTAGGTTCTATTGTAATAGGGATATCGTTACAAGTTTGAAAGAATCACAAAATACATGGATTTTTCTTAAAATATCTTCTCCATTCCCTTTATCAGGCTTCCTTATAATTAAATCTATCTTTTATTAAGATTAATAGGAGCCACAGGCGAAATGGGGTATATTATATAACTGCATCAGATTGAAACTCTTCACTAGATTCTAGATAGATAAAGTACAAGGACAACCTCCACGGGTACATGAGAAAACTTGAACTTTATCAAAGTATTTGACATGTTTTGGAAAAATATCGCTGTATGCAAATAGTTATCCGATAACAGTTCTGGCATAATATCACGAGAATGTAGTCGAAGAACTAAGATGTATATATATATACAGTATATATGAGTATTAAGATGTATATATCTGTATATGTATACAAACGTTGTGTGTGAAGTTAGTATTAAAATATGCATTATACATTGTGTATTATGTATATGAGTATTAAGATACGTATATATGTAAACGTTGTGTGTGAAGTTAATATTTAGATATGTATATATATGTATACATTGTGTGTTGTAAGTATTAAGATGTATATACATATGTGTGTGTATGTTGTATGTGATGTAAGTATTAAGATACGTATATATGTAAACGTTGTGTGTGAAGTTAATATTTAGATATATATGTATACATTGTGTGAAGTTAATATTTAGATATATGTATACATTGTGTGTTGTAAGTATTAAGATGTATATACATATGTATACATTGTGTGTTGTAAGTATTAAGATGTATATACATATGTGTGTGTGTTGTATGTGATGTAAGTATCATTTCCTTTGACTTTGTCACTTAAATCTAAAGGAAAATTAAAATTTGTTAACACTTAAAACAACCGATTTAACGTTCTCTTACAGCTTATTTTAATATTTATTATAAATGAAGTGATGTTTCTTGGGCAAAGTATGTGTTCATCACCAGCGTAATTTTAAGAATATTTGCTCCCTATATTATTGTTTATAGCTTCTATTTTATGCAATATTAAAGGAGCTATGCCTTTGGAGACTCTCCAGGTTGCAGATGTTGGCGACATCCCTATCGCGATGTATGAAATTCAGCAGGCAGTCAAAGATATCAGATCAGGGATACAGAAGATATTAAGTAATGGCTGTATCCCGTTGACGATGGGCGGTGATCATACAATCACTTATCCAATTTTACAGGCGATTAAAGTAAGTAAAAAATGCGAGTTACCAGAAATATTCATATTTGTATATAGCAGTATTTTTGTTTGAATACAAAGACAGTGGCAGTAAGAAAACGTACAGTTTACTCTCAACATTTCTATAAGAAAGTCAGGAGATTTATAAGTCGAAGAAGCGAGCAACGTCCGCACCAGACACGGATATACTGTAAACAACCTACTATCCAAATATCAAAACGCTTCAAGAAAGAACAGACAAACAATAGATCACCTCACGAGACTAACTCAATCAATATACAAATCATTCAACAATAATCAAGCCACCATAGGCGTATTTTTAGACGTCAAAAAAGCTTTTGACAGTGTATGGCACAATGACATCAAATACAAACTGCACACGCTAAACGTCAACGAAACCCTAATCAGATGGATATCAAACTTTTTAACAGATAGATCCGCTAAAGTAAAAGTTAACAACACTTTATCTAAAACATTTAACATAACGGCAGGATCAGTCTTTTCACCCCTCTTATACATCCTTTTTGTTAACGATATTCCTTTCCCTGAACTAACGTACACTTACCACTCTCAATACGCCGATGACATTGCCGTCTGGAGTATATCCAGAAACCCAATCATTGCCACTGCTCGTGTCCAAAAAACATTAGATATCATTTTACATTGATGCAACAAATGGCGAGTGATACTTAATCCAAGAAAAACTCAAGCCATAACTTTCTACAGAAAATTATGTAAACACATGATTACACTTAAGAAAATTAAATTAACGCTAGGAGGCACCCGAATAAAAATCAGCAATAACATTAAATTCATGGGAATCACATTTGACACCAGGCTGACATGGAACAAACACATTCAAAACATACGCTCATCAATCAGCAAACGAATCAGTTACATTAGTCTACTTACAGGCAAACACTCCAACTGTGCACCTACAGCAGCCCTAAAAATATACAAAACTTTTGTTCGCCCACTCATAGAATACGGATGCCAAATAACCTACAACATGTCCAAAAATAACCTCAAAAACTTCAAATACAACAAAATAAAGCCATTAGATTAGCATTAAGACTACCAACTTTTACCCCCGAAAAATTCATTCATAAATCAAGCAACCTCCCCACACTCAAAAACAGATAAACAAAATTATCCGTTAAATATTATACAAAGGCGGATACAAGAAACAACTTAACCGCAGCATTACACAAAATATCAAGCACTCCCACCAAACACATTTCTCCATACAACCTATACTGCCTACATAACACAACACACAGAACCACTAGCACATAAAATATGATTATTCATGTTTATAATCCTGTATTGCTTTTCAGCCTGGGCACAGGACAGACAGAGTATTCGGCGTCTGTCCTGTGAAAGTGGGTTTTCTCCGGGCACTCCGGTTTCCCCCACACCAAAATTACCACCTACAGGGCATCCCCATTGTCCCTGCCTCCCTGAAAAGGGCCCTTCCCTTCCCCACTTATCAAACAACCAACACAATTAAAACAACTAAATCAATCAATGTTAATAAAAACAACTACAAATAAAATAAACAAAGTATTTTCTTTTATAACCAAACCATTCTAAACAAATACAAGTTACGACCACAGTAGTCATAGTGCACATCTGGATCTTCCTGCTCCTACAACAGTCCATCAGGCCTCCCCGACTAAACCAACGCTGGACTCCTCAACGATGCTCAGATCCCATTCGACTCTCTTCACGGCTTCCCGACGTCTACTTAACCCAAGACTTAAAACAAAAAGTAAATGATGAACTAAAATCCGAGGAAAGTAATAAAATCTCACGCGCGGGGTTGAAGGGGAACAAAAGTTCCCGAGCACCCCAGTTGGGAAGAGCGGACAAACTTAAAAATTTGTTTTCTCTTCCTTCAAACTAAACAACTGCCACGATTAGTTAGTTTGTTTTTTTATCAAGAGCTATTCGTAATAGTAGTAGCTTGGTATTTTCAACAAGCTAAATTTAAAATAGTTTTATTGCTATATATATCTCTTCTCGGACCCTATCGTTTATAAACTTTTTAAATCATTTTAAATTCAACATTATTATTATTATTATAATTCGGGTTATTATAATTGGTCAGTTTTCTATTGATCGCGCAACGAAAAAAAAAGAAAATAGAGACAGGTTCTATTTTAACGAAGCGAAAATTTCTCAAAGCGGCGTCGCTCGCTGCTGGTGTGGATACTTCCATTTGACTGCAATATTTCTAAATTGTTCATTCGCATTACTCACGTCTAGTGAAAAAGAAAAACGTAATAAGGTACTACCACTTAGGGGTAAGTAAGATAAACTTACCTCCTGAGGTTGGAATATCAGCCACCATTATAGTAGTAAAGAACTAGTTTAATAGTACAGTGGATAAATTATACTAGTATAGAGTTATAAAAACCCAACCAAGACATCTAAACTAACTTTTTAATATATATATATATATATATTTCTTTCTTGACTTTGGACAGCAGTCACTTTCCCACAGCTGTCTGTAGGCAGTGAAGTTTGATATAGATATGAAACGTTGTGGGATTGAGCAACCACATCTCGATCTCCTTCCTAACTTGTATTTCTTTTGATAATTTCTTCGTGTGAGATTAGCGAACGCAGGTTAAGACTGATAGACGGTGTATCTCCATCGCAATGTGGGTCTTACTTCCGCAGTCACCTCCAAAACCCAGGGCACACTTCATATCCCACATTATAACCTATATCCTGGGGTCCTTTTGAGTTATGCAGAGTCTTTAATTTAAACTTGGTTTTTTGTTTGTGTTTGTTTTTATTCACACATATATATATGGACTTTCTATTAATGGATTGATTTTTATGGTAGATAACAAAACTAAATATCTAAAACAAATTTTGTAAATTATTTTTATTTTCCAACTTTTAAAACGTTTGAAAAGTGCTGGTAAGAGGTTAAGAAACATTTGTATTATTACCACCTGGAGAATAATTAGCGCAACTGAATGAATAATTAAACATACTTGGTTGGATTGTGTGTAAATTTTGTCTGTGCTTATCATATAATTACTATTGATTCTCAACATTATGAATACAGACATAAAATTCTTAGCTTAAGTAAAATACTTGCTGAATATACAAAATATTAGTACAGTAAATCATTGTTTTCAATTAAACGACACAATATTTAAAAATAATCAATAAACTTTACTAAAAATGTAACTTTAAACGTTTCAAGGTTTAGAAAACCCTTTACTTAAAGTACCTTACAAATCCTTGTTTATCAATATAAAAGTTTCGGACAAATATATACTTTTTTTTGGTAATTATTATAAGTAAACTCATATAATTAAAATACTACACTATAACGAATAATTGGCCTTTTTTTCCTCTTCTTTGTTACCGATATACGAAATCAGAAGACACTGAAAATGAGAGGGGTTTAACAAGTAATTTGTTTTTCTGAGTTATTGTTTTAATTGCTTCAGGAGAAACATGGTCCCGTAGGATTGATCCATATTGATGCTCATGCTGATGTTAGTGATGAGGTCCTGGGATGTAAAATACAACATGGAACTCCCTTCAAGCGAGCAGTAGATGAAGGACTTTTGGACTGTAAGAGGGTAGCTCAGATTGGACTTCGAGGAACTCTTTATGTGGATCAGGACTTCCGGTACCAATGGTCAAGAGATCAGGTAAGTCTTTAAACATTGGGGTAATTTATAGTCCAAACTTTGCGAATATATACAGTTTAACGCACGTTTTTTGTTAAAATGAACATTCTTGATTTTCTTTTAAAATCTTCGTTTCGAACCTAAGATGGGGATTTTGAATATAAACCGATAATCAATATTCTACTGTTGAAATTATCAAAGCGTTGTATTTGGAAAGCTCTTAATTTTCCGATAGTGTACAAAAACCTTTCCGGATCTTTTGTTATTGCACAATTTAATGATCTCAACTTATCCATGACTTTGACACCTAAATTCTTACTTTTTTAATCATTCACTCAGGTATTTGTAACTTAAATAAAGAGCTGAGTATTTTGTATTAAACCAATTTTGAATATGCAAATCAGCTAGTCACGTGGCAATCACAACCAATATATTGTCTCGGTAGATTTTGACATTGTTTGTCATTGCATAGGTGGTGTGATGCCACCGAACATTGATCAATTTGAGCCATGATTAGCAAAGTGCAATGTCCTATGAAAGGTGATATTCTACGAACATAATAATGAGTGGGTAAAGCTGTCCACTTGTTCTAAAAAACAGTACGTAAATATTCCAGAATGGTCTTGAAACTAGGCTAACAGGATATGGATTCACCAAGATAAGACTTCTAATCATACCTCTCATTCAACTGTCGCATACCTCAAGTCACTGGATAAAGCACCTATAGTTTTTCTGTCCGATTGGAATTTTTTAAACAGATGTTTGGTAAACGTCACTCATACATTAGCTGGATTATGGAAAGAAATGAGTAAGTAATGGGGTCTTTTGGACATGAAAACTTTACGACGGAGCCTTTTGCAATAAAAACTATTCTACAGGGCTATCGTTAAGACGCCTGTAACGATATGGTGAGGCTCCAAAGTCGTTTTAACATAACGCACTCAGTCTCTGTATAAGTGACTTTGGACTAACAAAAAAAGGATCTTGACCAATGAAGGCCAAAAGGGCTATTTTAATTAATTTCTTCAAAATGAACGTATAATTTCGACGAAATTTTGTGAGCTCATTTAATTATTATTATTCGCTGATTACTGAAAGCCATCACATCTTTCAAAGCCGAACAAGTTATTGATATATATGACGTTGTAACGTCGAAACATGTAGAGTCGTCAAATTTTTTGAAGACCATAGATAGGCCTAAATAAAATTTTGTACCAGTTTAACGTTGAATATTATTAATGATTTTAACTTTACACACAAGTGCCAAAATACTATAAGTATTGATATATTGTTTGAATATAATTTTATCGACATATTACACGTAAAACTCTTATTATTTTTGTACCTGTTCTTCATTGTTAGGGGTTCAAGGTTGTTCATGCGGACGAATGTTGGCACAAATCTTTAACTCCATTGATGAAGGAAATTCGAGCCCAGATGGGAGATGCGCCAGTCTATGTCAGCATTGACATTGATGCTCTTGATCCTGCTTATGCTCCTGGTACAGGTGGGAATATTTTTATTAATGAGATTATCCAAAGAATCGGAACCGTCTCATATTTAATTAGCTTCTTGGGAAAAATATATACATATAAGTGTACCTCACTTATCCTTAGCCAACAAAGTCCGAGTCGTTAAACATTGACAGTTGGTGTTGTTGCTTATAATCGATGTTTGAACGTCATCATTTTTAGTTAATTCTCTTCACCTATATGTAACAGTTAATGTTAAAAGCCAAAATACCTTTTTCGTTTTATACATGTACTTACTTTTTGACTTGCTTCTACTATTGAGTGAGCAAAACGTATCATCATATTTAAGATTGCTTGATTTGAATATCTTTATATTGACTTAAATATCACCCACGATAAAAAATGTACGTTTTGATTTCTCTGCGTTTTAGAGGTTTCCGAATTGATTAGTTTATTAAAATGTTTTTCTATGAGGTTTCTTGAAAGATATATCATTTATTTCTCATTAAAGTGAATAAATTTTCTTTTTTATTCCAGGTACTCCAGAAATAGGTGGTCTAACCTCAATCCAAATGTTAGAGTTAGTTCGTGGTTGTAGAGGTCTGAACATTGTCGGTGGTGATCTTGTTGAGGTAAGCTTTGCAAAGAACTTTGATTAAAATAATTATACGTTACGCGTTCATTTGAAAGCTTGAGTACAATAACTACACGTTAAGTTTTTATTTTATTGTTGTTTTTGGACATGAATTAGTATAAATTTAAAATATCACACAGGTTCTCAAACCTTTTACACTGAGAAACATTTTCATAACTAGTATGGGAAAGAAATGGTGTAACGTTAATAAACTATAAAGTGAACCATTACTATGACGTATTTTTGAAACTATTTGATTTGTTAAGAATTAAACAATTTCTATAAAATACAATTTTGGGAATAATTGTGTTTTATATTAGATTTGAAAATTCAAGAAAATTCACATAAAAGTTTAAGTAGCTTTCGCAGTACACTTTATCGTATTTGTTTTTCACATTTGAGGAAATATTAAAACTAAAAGTAACTTCACAAATGTTCGAAAGTAAAAACGTTCTCTTTTCTGATACTTTTTAGGTTTCACCTCCTTACGACACATCCGGGAACACAGCACTTGCAGGGGCCAACATTCTGTTCGAACTGCTTTGTGTTCTTCCAGGAGTAAAATACCTGCAATTCTAACTACTTAAATCACTAGCAAAGAGCCATTTAAATTTCATATGAGCGTCACCTCAAAAAACAACAACAGGTAATTAATGTATTAGCGGAAACATGAAGTACAGATAAGCTTCATCAAGTGGGTCATTAAACACTGAACCAAAGTTAGCCTAACGAACTTCGATATTCTGTCTGCAACATCTATTGTGAGCAGTTTGATTCTGAGCATATTCTTTCTTGCTAGCATGATGCTTATCATGTTGAGTTTCGTGTATAAAGTACAGTAATACCCCCTTTAGCGCTCAGAAAGGGTTCCTGAGAACAGAGCTCTAAACGAATCAACTCTAAACAGTGTCATTTTATAAAAATGGTGTATTTAAGTGTTTTACACTCACACAAAAGAAAAACACTTAAATACACCATTTCGATTTTCGATACCTCACTACTATAAAGGCTTGGTTTGGTCTGATACTTCATTGGTGGTAGTGTCCAGGGTCACTGATGAGGAATGGAATTCTCCGAAACTAGTCTGACTCACAGACACACCCTCAATGAAAGAATAGACCATTCTAAGCTTTTACTTGTTGTGAAACAAATGTTTAAACAACTCTATTCAATTAAGTGTCATTTTAACATTACATATATGGAGATATGTAACAGAAGGCATTGTTTCTTACCTGTGAATTATGTATAAGTGTTTTATTTAGGTACTGGTAAACATAGATTGTTATAGTACAGTATTATTTATTAAAGTAAATGAACATAAACAGTCTTAAAAAACAAAGAAACACATCAAACTGGCGTCGATTCGCTAACTGGCGCCGACCCCAGGGTGGAAGACAGTAGTTAGACGAGGCAGTGGGTAATGACAGACAATGGACATCATTTGGCTCTTTATAATGAAGTACGCGAGCGTAGCAAAATTTAAAAAAAATATTGAATTTTCCCCTAGCGTGAGAATTGTGACATTGTTTCTCTAAGCATCCCCTCTTCTCTATTTTATTCATCCCTCCTCCAAGAAGTATGAAATTTAACATAACTTACTCACTATAATATCGTCATCGCTGGAAAAAAAGCAAATTTTTATTAGCCTCCAGTATTGTTTGGCTACAGAGCCATCAAATAGAAAATCAGATTCCTCCTGTCACGCTCACCTGTCACATCCTCTCTTTCAGGATTTGTCAACACATGTAGTTCTCTCTTACGGTTACAACTATATTAGTTATAACCAATAAGCAGGCAAGGTTTTCGTCTATCAAGTAACCATTATATTACGTTGTTTTCTGTACAGAAATTTGTAGATCGCTTCCTGAGAAAATGCTTTGTTTTTTTCCCCAAGGGAACAATATTGTGTAAATGGATGACGTTTTAACTGATCATATTGCGTGCTAGAAACGCCAGAAAAATTGGGATAGTTACGGGAAATTGTCTGCTTTTTACATGTCAATATTTTGTTCTTTGTTGTATTATTTTATTAAATACAAATTATTTAGTGCACTACTACCATTAGTGTGAAAAAGTAGTGTTTAGAGAGTTATGGATTTTCATAATTGTTTTTCTCTCTCGTGCTTTAAAATCTCTCAAGGAGACAGGAGCTCTATAACGAATCGACGGGGTGGCGCTAAGCGGGGTCTTACTGTATTCCAATCATCTCATGTGTTCGTAGTAATTTGTTGTGTTTTTGGTTTCTTCTTTGCTACAGATATGGTGTTTATCACATGACCTTGCGATATCCACTATACCCTTTATCCAATGAAACCGTAATTCGTACTAATAAGCTTTAGTGCTATAATCAACATGTTAATGTCTTATGTGTCACCTCTCGTGCATCTACCTTATCCAACATTGTAAATCTACTAACCATATTCCAATTCAGTAATCTATCATGCTATCCAAGATTGATCTGGTTAATTTTAGGCTTACTTTTGCTAATCGAACATATTGCAAATATTACACAATTGCTGCAAGTTTAGCCATTATTTGTCGCTTTTAGGTGTAACAAATTCATCCAAATAAAGGTTTTTTTTATCCGTGTTGGAGTCATTTCTCATATTTTATTTATGTGTTATAAATTACCAACCTCTATGTTATACTGGTCTTACTTTTATCTTGCAGTTACCACTTACAAGTATTCTAAAACTTATACCCTGTACTTTGGCAATGTATACATTGCGAAGGAATAATACATAAATAATAAATAAAATAATTAAGGCGTGAACAAGCTTTCCAGTAAAGCTTAGCCTTAATGATGGTCATGAGGATTTAGATAAATTAGATGAGCAACTGCTATCCCTGCAGGTGAGCAATGTCACCATCAGAATGACGAGTATTTTATAACCTGCAGAGTGGAAATATGTAGGGGTGAATCCAGCAATGGTAAATGGCAGAATCGTCGAGACACGAGCCAACAGTGGAGCTGACAGCAGTAATGCCAGGAAAACTAGAGAGATTTGTCAAATAGTCCCAGAATAAACATACTACTGTGTGTAACTAAAGTGTTCACTCTACCCATAGTGTAGTGTACATGAATACTTGGTTAGTTAACCCTATCTTGGTGATTACATCTGATGAATGTGGGTAACATATTGTTTGATTTCTCATAAGATTATTCAAAGCGACTTAAGGAGTTATCTGACACGTGAAAAGTTGAAGACATTTGTATTAATAAGATAGAGAAATCAAAGCCATGTTAAAAGGTTTTAGTTCCAGGGGAAAGCCATATATATCTGTTTAGAAGTTGGTCTGACTAAAACACAAGACACAAGATAGAAGTGGAATGTGACTACATATTATACATATCATTCATATGAGAGTAATAAGTGGGGATGGTAGTGTAGAAATCAGGAACCACTGATATAGATAACAAACCATTGGAGCCTGTCACTATCAACGCTAATACAAGCAGTGATTAATGCGATCGTTGTCATGGTTAATAGCCTATACGATAGATTTATGTTATTAACTACTATCTATTACAACAATGGACACAAACTTGATGGAATGAGCTGTAGATTGAAGAAAACCCACTGATCAACTTTATCTAGACTTCGTTTATTTTATTTTATTTTGTGCAAGGCTACTCGAGGGCTATTTGCGCTAGTAGTCCCAAATTTATAATTAATAGTCTAGAGGGGGGGTAGGTAGTCAATACTACCCACCATCAGTTCTTGGGGTACTTTAATCGAATAGTGGAACTGACCATCACATTATAACGACCACACGGCTGATAGGGTGCGCATGTTCAGTGTTGGGATTCGAGCCCGCATATTGCGAATCGAGCGCTGTAACCATCAAACCATGCCAATTAGGCTTTTAATTTCTCATGGAGATGTCGCCTACCGAAGACAAAGAGTAATATGCAAAGTTTAAAATCAAATCAGTTCTGAATACATAATGTCCATCCATCCTCGGAATTTTTGTATTATTGTTCAGGAAAACCAGGGACATGTGATAGAGATGTAATTATACATTAAAATAGGCCAAAGAAGTTTTTTTAAGCACTAAAAGTTCCTATTTATACATTATATTTTTACCGTAAAATTCAAATTATCATTGGTAGTTTTAAATACTTTTCTAAGCTGAACTTATTCCTTTATAATAAAATGTTTTAAGCGAATCTACTACATGTTTTAAGTATAATTCTTTTGTTTTTTGTCAATCGTTTTCTCATCTCTTAGGACCTCTTAACATTTCAAATGTCAATGTTTTTGCTGAGTTAGATCAAACAACTCCAGCCGAGGTATAAAAAGATTAAAGTTTATGGTTTCTTTGCTAAATAACAACTAGCTATGAACGATTTAGGTACTAACTTTCATAAAATAATAAAATTGGATTTTTGTTTTTGTACCTATAGAAATTGAATTTTTGTATATTTTTACCTCATATGTTTAAAAATACTTAATATTTAATGCAATTTTTATGTTTGTATTAAACATAATGACATTTTCGAAGATATTGTTACGTCTCTGTTCGTTTGTTAATTTTCCGTAGAAATTCTTTCCGAGAAACTTCAGCGATACAAGTCCTTTCTTAAATAAAACTAGTTTATTCTTTCTCGTCATAAACTTTGTAATACACTTAATTTCCACAGTCACTTTAACTTAAACACACGCTATAATTCACAACGATTCACGCGCTTTACTTACGGTGCCTACCGCCCGCTTGACTCAACTATTCGTGTCTTTATCTTCAATCTCTCTATCTGCGATTCCAATTCCGATTAATTGTCTCGCTTTATCTGGCGCACTTATATATACAGGAATAGAGGGCGTCTAGCAAGTACTGGATTGTTCGTGATGTTCCCCGATCCTTCTAGAAACTCATCACGTGCTACCAGAGTCACGTGACTTCCGCTGTAGTAACAATATATTTGTATTATTGTGGGTTTAATGTTTCTCAGTTGGGTTAGATAATTCTTTAGATTACAAAGGGTTGAATACAACATATTAAAATGACTCTGAGTGTGCAAATCAGTAAGTTACGTCACAACCACAGTTGACACAAGATTTTGTTGGGACGGAATGTATCATACCTACAATTTGACTTAACTTGGCGTTGCGCAAGTAGTGTAATGTCAACGAAAACTGATCACTTTTTCATACACTCAGATCTTTGAGATGTGTTTAAGTCGTGGATTTAGAAATTACAAGATGGGATGTATTTAATGGCATTGTAAAACCAAGGAAAATGGATCAACTTGGGTATTCAAAAGTGAGTGCCAAAACCCCTCCACGTGCCATAGACAACAGTATGCAACAAAATCAAGAAGGATCTCCGTCTAGAAAAGTCACTCAAGTTCCTTCGAGAACAAACTATTCACCCATCGCATACCTTTAGTAACTGCCGAATAAAACCTGTATTCATGATATTCCATACTAAAATATACCGTCAAGTGCTCTAATACATTTGAAGTTAGATTATAAATACGAAGTAGATGTTTCAAGACAGAGTACGTTTAATGATGGTCAAGAGATGCAGTTTTTGTTTAAAGATGAAAAATTGAATGAGTCAGTGTATTTTCGTGAAATACTGGAATCTGTGTTTGCTATCACACTTATTAGTTACTCGGTACAAGTTGATTTTTTAGTTAATCCTAGTATTGCTAGAGAGGTCAGATCATCATTTGTAACGTAGGCTTACAATAATATACGACACTGTACAAGTGTTTAAACTTATAGAACCGTCTGAGGAAGAAATAAACTAAATCTTTATAGTTTACTTCGACTAGAGTTTGAATTATTTTCACCATATAATTTAAATGAAACTCCAAATGGAAGAATAACAATACAATGGATGTACAGGTTGATCTGATTTTTTGACAACAACAAAATGCTTACCACAAATTTTACTGTTGGCTTTGGTTTGCCTTGCCTCCCCATCTGCAGTGCATGCCATAAAAACGTGTTTTATTGAATGTGCAAAGATCTTAAAATAGCATGAAAACAGTAGTTATAAGAGACCTAAGCCTCGTCCTACATG